TCTCTTGGCCCTGCCAGGCCACTCAGCCCCCTTCTTTAATCTTGCCCTGACACTCCTAGGCCAACTGCCCCACTTAGCTGTTCTCTTTGCATGGCTCTGCCTAATGGCTCATTAATTTAATTAAGGAAAGAAAGAAGGGAGGGAGATTCATATTTCCACTGATCACATTCTTTTAGAAAAGACCCCAAAACAATTTGTTTTCAGATATATTGATGCCACTTTTGGTATGCTTCTCTTTTATTATTTTAAAAGTGATTTATTTTTTGTATTAAATATTTGGTTGTTTTCTTTCTTTATAAACTGTTCAAAAATAAAATACATGATGGCAGAAATGAAAGAAAATTTATTTTTAAGGTTATTTTGAAGAAAATGCATGATAATGTTTAATTTTAAGCAAAATTTTATTAAGAAAGGCTTTGGCTGCAGCTCCTCCAAATGCTCTGGGATTACAAAAATGAGTGCAAATTTATATAGAGAAAAAAGTTTTTACAACTTCAAGCTTTGGAAAAGATACACTAACAGAGATTTCACCAAAAACATTTACAAGTTCCAAGCTTTTAATCTTATCATTTATCCTTTGAAAGCATTTTCCTATTTTATTTATTAAAATATCATTTTTATATTTTCTAAAGGCTGAGTTTCACCTTCAGCCCTAAGCGAGTAACTACTATCCTTCTTATACTCCTCGCCACTGCCCTCCCTACTACAGCCATAAATCTGATCAAAATCAATGCAGCACTTGTTTTCAGGCATGAGCAACAGCCAGCCCAGGACTGTGATCCCTAGGAGAACTGAAGCAATGTCCTCGTAGCCCACAAGCTCTCTGATGAGGGAGGGGGCATTTTTCAGACTATTATTCAGGGAGATGAACAAAGGAAAGTGATGCGGGGGAAGCAGAATGGAATTTGGGTTACCAACGTGACAGGTAGTAGACAAGAGTGAGCTGTGCAGCAGCCAAGGGTATCAGGAGGCAGGCTGAGGGTTGCTCAGGAGTCCTCCTCCCGACATGCATGCCAGTTAGTTCATGCGAAGTTAGCCCATGTGAACTCTGAACTAATAAAAATGATGACAAAACTGTGCCATTGGCAGACCACTCTTGGAGAAATGCGGAGGGTTTGGCTTGCCATGTCTTCAATGTAAAGAGACTTGAGAATTCTCTGGAAGTTTAATGAAGACTCCAATTATTCTTCTTTTTAATAGCTTAGGATTTCATACACTTGTGAGTGTGATCAATCCTGAACCAAAGCATATGATTTCCTTGCACACCCGTCAAACCATAATCTTGAAGTAATTAGTGTATTTATCTAAGAGGAATGGGAAAAACTAAAATTGTATACCACTTTATGTTAAAGTAAGGCATTATGATGTTCCAAATCATATAATCTCTCAGGAATTAAGTCAAACTGCTTACAATACAGATTGTAAACAAACTCCTTTAATCAACTAAGTGGCTATATGCCAGATAATTATTCAACTTCAGAATTTCTGACTGACAATTTCTTTGACTACTAACTAGCCAGCCTCAGGTTTTAGACAAGTTTTGTATTTACACTATGCATCTTGCTCATGTATGTTACAAAAATACTGTATTTTGGTCGGACCTGAACCATTTTACACCTGCCTGTTATCTAAGGAAACAAAGTAAGTAGGACTAGAGTTCTATCTTATTTCAGCAAAGTCAAGAATTCCTTATAGACTTATTCCCAACGTGTTTCCTGCTTGCCTGCCCCAATAAATCCAGTAAGACCAGTAAAATTATACTTTACAAAAATTTCAGAGTTTGTGGAATGCAATTTTCACCTTACATATTTTTATTGAATTAAAACATCATTAATGAGCACTCTCGATTATTTTTTTAAGATGGACACAGTATCATTTATTTTATTTATTTTTATGTGGTGCTGAGGATTGAACCCAGGGCCTCACATGTGCTAGGCAAGCGCTCTACCACTGAGCAATAACCCCAGCCCTCTCAATGATTATTAGGCATGGTTTTTAATGCCTCAAAACATCTTTGACGGGGAGAACTAAAGTCAAATTCCATACATTTGACTTTAGGATGAACTCAACTACTGTGTATAACTATAAAGCTCTAATAAAAAATATTATACTAAAAAAATCTTTGATCAAAGATAGTATAGTATAGTATAAATTTATGCTCCTAAATCACTTGGAAACAAAATTAATTTCAATTCAAGTCATTTTTGGAACACCATATTGCATTCAACACTATTACAAGCTTCTCAAATGATTAAGGTATTAGAAATTCATTAAGAAACTAAGTAACCAAACTAAGCCAATAAATTTTATAGGTTAAAAAAATTTAAGTTATTTTAAATACAGTATGCAGGTTCACTTTGTTATTGTTTTAAATAGTCTTCCATACATTCTCTTTAAAGTGTCTCACTCCAAAAATGTTTCTTAAAACATTCCTAACTTATAAAATCCACAAGGGGACATACTATCAGATACTGCATATTTTCAAAACTATGAAGGAAGTCTGTGTCATCAGCTACAGTGCTTCAATACTACAAATAACAACAAAGTACTGGTGATAAAATCAGGAAGTGCTTAACTCAATTTGTGATTGGCCAAAGGAGATTTTAGCTTCTGTCATTGTCTCTTAAAATGTGCCTCAGGAATTAAAATTGTAATAATCCTTTGTGCTGCTTCTTAGTAAACTCAGATTCCTGGGCACCTCCTCTGACCTACTGAATCAGTTATGGAACCAATGAGTGAGATCCTGGGAATTTTGACAATAGTGTTAGACCAACAATATGCCCTTCATGGGTGGTATCTCTTTACCAGTTTTCTAGAATGAAGGAAAATAGTCTACAAGTTAGTGAGATGTTCAGATTTTGCAACATATAATTCTACTCTCAAAACCAAGCTATCATGATGAAAACCGTAGCCTGAGGATCTGTGTCCCAACCTGCTTTTAGTAGAATAGAACTTGTGCATTTTCCCCTTCAATTATATAAAGTGCACATCAACCCTTAAAAATTAACTACTCATCACTGCAATCCATGCTAATGGGTTCCAAGCTTATGTAATATGTATTCAATAAAATACAAAGCATTTTTTTTTTGGTGAGGAGACCTAAAGCTTTTATGAGAAAATTTTGACAGCATTTAAAACTATTCAGTGCAGAATAAACTGGTGAGTATTTAAAAGAGGGAGCACTGGGTAAATATCAAATTGGTCTTATTTCATAATTATGTAGAAAGTTTACCTATATTCCAAATTCTATTTTTGTTACTTGGAAAGAATCTTGGGAATTTTTAAATAAGTTAAATGAGAACAGAATCTATTAAAAACAATTCACTTATTTTTCCATCGCTAATTGTGCTTTATATTCTAGGAAAGCAGCCAGCAAATAGACACTCTAAATGTATTTGTGATTCTTTTAGCTCAGTTAATATACTATTGCAAAGGGTTATTATGTTTTGCTTCTACCTTTTTTGTTCTTGCTATATGGGATTTATGGACTGTCAATAATCACTAAGGACAAAAAAAATTCTATTAGTTTCAGAAAGTCTATTTTGCTACCCCTTTTAACAGAAAGACTTCCTCTGCTAACGCTTTTGTCAGAAACAAAAATTGTAGGGCTTGGTGACCCCTTTCAGAGAGCTTCTGTTGAAACAATGATCATATCTTTGGAGACACTACAACATTATCTTAAAGTTGGGAGGAAAACTTCAGAGATCTTGCAAACCTTGGTTATTTAAAATCGATCCTCAAAATAAATAAATAAAATGAAACAACATCGATCCTTCTCAGGGAAAAGACCTATTTGACCACACCAGTGCCCTCCTCTCCCTTTTTGTGCGCGGGGCATTAATTCGCACCCCCGCCCCCCCACACACACACACACTTTTTAATTTTTCCCCCCTCTCTCTACAGATCTCTTTCCTTTCTCTTCAGTCTCAGAAAAACTGCTCCATTTTCTGCTACCTCCAGTGCACCGTCTTCCCCACCTGCGATTGTGTCTGGCTCAGTCACAGGCACACCACCACCCTAAGGTTACAGCTGTTTCTGGGGGTGGGGGCCACCCTGTCCCTCCTAGGTATCTCTCCACCCTGAATGCCCCAGCTGAACAGCTGAACCAAGATGGGAGGAGAAGGAACCTTTGGCGTCTCTCCCCATGGGCCTCAGCACCTGCCCATCTACCTGCCCCACACGCCCGCCCCACCCCTGCCCAGCGCCCTGGCAACCAGCGAGACGCTGTGCTGATGCTAGGTTTGTCTCCTGTTCTCATTTTTTTCGTCCTCCCGCTCTTTTTTCTCCCACTGTGTTTTTATCATTGATTCTTTGATGGCGAAAGAAAACAGCTCAGGGCTATAGTTGTTTCCCATAAATAAGCGAAGGCTTTTCCAAAACCTTTCTCCGTGTCTTTCTCCCCCTAACGCAGGTAGACTGCAATGCAAAGGGCTCCTCTTTCAGCCAGTGATCGGTATCAGTCTCCCAGTTTGCGGATTTACTCAACAAACCCGCACCTACTGAAACCTATCCCTTGCCAGTTAAGCTTTCTTCCAGTTAACCATATTCCTTCCCACTGTTAAGCACCTCCTCCACCTTTTCGGGTTCCACTACCGCCCACATTTTTAAAAAGAAAAGGAAAATCCAACAGGCAAGATAGTGTGAATTCCAGGAAGAAAGTGTGCATGTGTAAGATAGTCTGAGTGTGTGCATCTGTGCCTATCGCCTCTCTCAATTTGTCCGGGTCCCACACACGTGGCCACCAGGCGCAGGACAAGTCAGGCAGATGCTGGGCGCTATCGAGCCTACCTGTCCGTCGGCGTCCAGGTAACTGGCGAAGTGCCCGCGGGGCTGCGTTCCAGGACACCTGGGCTGAGCAGAACTAGCCAGTGAACTGAGGCTACAGGGAGCCCTTTCCCGCGCGCGTTCTCCAACCCTCTTTCCCTTGGGGGGTATTCTGGTTGTTTCTACACCCCTTCCCCCCAAAGACAGCGGGACTATCCTCCTCCACATTGCCTTACCTCAAACAGAGGACCGATCTTGTTCTTCTCTAGGTAAGCCTGGATTCGGGTTTGCTGATGAGACGCCATGGACACGCTGAATCCGCCGCGGAGAGAAGACCGCGCGACTGTGCGTCTCCGTGGGGGACAACCCTCCTTTGCCCCGAAATGGGGCCGGGACAGGAGCTCAGGAGCCTCAGCAACCCTGGCGCGGCTGGTGCCACCCTCGGCGCGGGCGTGGGCAGCAGCCCCGGGAGAGGCAAGGTCGTCGGGCGCTGAGTGCCGGAAACCCGGGCGCTGAGCCGCCAACTCAGACAACTCCAAGGCGAGGGGAGAACTCATTCAGCGGGTTCTCTTCCTCACGCCCACCCGCGCGAATCTCCGCAGCACCGGCGCCGAGGGGAAATTCGAGGCAGAGGCTCTTCTCTCCTCTGGGCGGCAGCAGCAGGAATCAGGGGGTGGGAGGCGATCGCGGAGAGGCTGCTCCTCCCAGCGGGCGCCCAGGGGCGGCGAGCAGGAGTGTGCGTACAGGGACGCGCGACTGTGTGCGCCCCTCTCCCAGGTTACAGGAACAAACAGCCCGGGCTTCTCCCAGAAGCTGGACTCGCCCTACCAGCCGCTCCCTAGCGACAGCGCCTCTCAAAAAGCCAATGGTGAAGGTGCTTCTTTCAAAGTGCACATAAATCTGGTCCTTGTTGGCTACTCCTTGGCAGCTACAATTGCAGTTCGGAAGGGGATTGTCCCCACTGTCCTTTTGGGGGCCTCTCCCAGGCACCTGTGCTTTGCCTGTACTAACTCAGGGTCCAAGAAGGGCATAGAAGTGAGCAGGTGCGTGGGTCGAAGGGTTTGCCGCGAAAACGAAGTTGCTTTCCATAAAATACCAAAAACAAAAACCTGGCTTGCCTGGAGCAAGTCAACCGGCGAATGCAAGCTGAGAACCGGTTAAAAACTCCCCAAAGCGCTGACCCCAAAGGCTGGAAACAAAGCTGCTTCAGGCTCTGACAGGGCAAAAAAAGATCAAAGCGAGCCAGCCCTCCCTTTCAAATCTATATCTCTAGCTACATCCCATAGGCTACACTCTTTCCCTTAATAATGTTCACTCTGGATACATTGTGTCTCCTTAAATTTAGCCAGGACCTTTCTTACTATGCAGGGATTTCCGAGTGGAAGATCTGCAGACAGGTTTCTTCACAGAGGTCTTTCTTGTGAAATGAAACACTGACACCCCAGTGTCGATTTTCCTGGTTTCCTCACCATTATGATTATTTGCTGCCCAAATCATAACACTTACATTAATAAATATGAATGTTTATATTAATGGGAATCATTTTTCTTAGCAGACTACACTGGTATAGATTCTGTCTCCACTATTCTGGATTTCTGTGACTCATAATTTCTTCATCGGTGACCCACCTTTTCTTCTGTATTTTAAGTGATAGGTGACAACATGAAGTAGTTAAGATTAGAATAGAATATTTCAGAAAGTATTTTTAATGCCAATTAATAATTCAGATATAAAAAATCCCCCAGATGGACTAAGGAGCTTAACCCATCACTGATAACCTGAAATGGACGCGATTTGAGATGAAGAAAATGTCCTAGCTGTTACTTTCACAATTAAACTTAGGTCATCTGCCAGAGAATTAATCAAATATCAGTGAGGTTCCCAGGTTAAAACGTGCTTTCCACTGTGGTTCAAAGTTATACTTTGATTTTTTTAAATATCCTCAGGAGTTATTAAATACAGAGTGACTACCAACACTTGTTTGTTATAAGAATAACATAATCGTTAATAACCATGGAGAATAACCATATGGAAAAACCATCTATGACCCAGCTTTAAAGTCAAGTAATTTTGATATAACTGGAAAATCAGTCTGCCATCCTTCTGAAAGCAGAGTCAGTCTCCTTTAGAAGACATAAGGAGGAGCATTCTTTACAAATAATTAATATAATTACCAAGTTTTCACCATGCTCAGAGCACGGCACAAAGGGTCTTGGATAGAATAGACAAAGCTTCATCTAGTAAAATGCCTATGTATTAAGGAGAGAATCATAGAGATACACATACCCATTTATGTATATTAAAACATGAACATCCCAAAATTACATATCTAAAATTTCTGAAATATTTTAAAAGGCTTTTAAAGCCTACATCAAATGCCACCTCCTCCACAAAGCATTTTCCTGGTTCCTAACACTTATCCTTAAATCTGAGATCATTGCTATGGTATTTCTTGCTCTTCCTCTCCATGGCAGACAACATGTAAGAACTGAGAATTCAAAGGCAAAAGGCCTTGTCTTTCTCCTCAGGTGTTCAGTCTTCTTGGGACAATTGGCATATATACAAATAATGGAGGCATTGTGCACATAGAGTTATGTAAAATATGCTGACTCTACTGATAAAGTAAAAGAGTTGTGCTTGCTGTCTTAAGGATTAACTCACAACCTAAGAACTCAGATGGGCAGTGAGATCCACTTGGGCAGAGCAAGAACACACTCAGGCTAGAACAAAGTCAGCCACCCTCTTCTAGACCACCCAACCCAGAAAATGGAGAGCAGAAGAAAGAAGAGATAATGATTAACAAGGAAACAGAAAAACAAGGAGTAAGCAGAAGTTTGAATTTCATCCAGAGAAAATAATTGGGCTTCAGAAATTTTTTCAATCCTTTTTCACAGGGTAATTTGAGTTTTCCTAGACATGCCAAGTTTTTATAGGAGAATTATACTTGGGAAGTGGGTGGTGAGCAAAAGTGCAGGGTCAGGTATGGCAGCTTCTTTCAGTTAAGGGACTTATAAATCACATTACAGAAGTAGATATTTTCTGCAAAGCTACCTTTAGGTCTTATTTTCTAAATAAATTAATCAGTCTGGAAAGACTATTCTTCTTAGAACTGCTGGAAAGAAAGTACAGAGCAGGATCAAGATCATATGCTTTATATTCTAATCAATAATAATTTGGTTGTACAATTTGATTGTACTTTTCATAAAGAACCTGGTTTTTTATTTGCTTGTTTTGGTTTTGTTTGGTGGAGTTGTTTGGTACCAGGGATTGAACACAGGGGCGCTTAACCACTGAGCTCCATCCCCAGCCCTTTTGATATTGTATTTTGAGATGGAATCTCTAAGTTGCTGAGGCTGGCTTTCAACTTGCAATCCTCTTGCTTCAGCCTCCTGAGCAGCTGGGTATACAGTTGGAGCAAAGTTTTGAAGGAAGAGTAAAATTTTAAAGTTTTTCAGGTTTTTTGTTTTTGTTTTTGGTGGATTGAGGATGGGGATAAAATATCAGGCTTTGGCATTAAAAATATTATGTGCAAAGGTACAGAGGTACACAAGGGTTGATGGTGGAGGAGCAACAGGTATATATGGTGAAAGAGCATCATGTGAGGTTAAAAACCAAACAGAATTCAGTTTTTTGAAGGTCTTAATCACCTTAAGAAATGACTTACATCTCTTGGGTGATGAGAAGGAACTACTTGGATTACAGAATCCATAACAAATGATGTTACCAGCATTAAGAATGGGAGTGTGGGAATGGAGGAAATGAGATGTGTTCAACATGCATTGTATTTAAGGATTAATCTATCCATCAATGCATAGAATGAGATTATACAAGAAATTCAAAGGTGGTACCGATTTCTGAAATAAGCTAAGAGATGAAAATTATTTGCTGAAGTCACCTAATGTATAATCGGTTGGGGAAGGTTATAATTCATGTTTTTTGAATGCTAAAGTTGAAGCTGTTTCCACTCTCTGAAACTTGAAGATCTGTCAAGAATTGCGTTTATAGATATGTGCATTCCTTGTGGAAAGGGCCTGCCTCATGACCTGGCATGTAGTAGGTACTCCATAAATAGCAGTTAAATGAATTGATCTAGTCTTTAGAACGAATGCAATCCAGCTATGTTCTTTCAGGCTAAACTTTATCTATGACTCATGGCATTTAAAGTCTGTTTTGTTTCATTTAGTTAATTGCATGCATATTTTGGTCTCTCTTTTAAACTGCCAACTCTCTAAAAATCATGAATTGTGTCTCAATAATTTTCTTAGACTTTACAAGCATGTAATATACTATATCTTCATATAGTCAGTTCTTCATATTTTTAATTAAGATTACATTGCCTTATGTTTTAATAATTTGTATCACCTAGTTCCACTAAGATACAATGAAAAGTAACCATGGCTGGGATTGAATTTAACAACTTCTTTCTGCATTACAACTCGGTACCTTTATTCTTCTTTCCCCTTTTTTTGGCTTGGGTACAGCATGAAAGGGCCATTTTTTTAGTGAGACTGTTCTGACCTCATTGTGTTATAAGAGTGCCTGTCAGCATAATTTACAAGTATACAGAATCCAATTTATAGGATGTACTAAAGCCCTTGTCTAACTTCATTTATAAAACACCTTGCACCAATCCTTAAACAAATGATTTTCAATAAAAGATGCGAGAACAATGGTGAAGTCCAGATGACCCAATTAAGGAGTATGAGCAATGTAATCCCTTGAAATTAATTTAATATTGAAGTTGAGCAGGAAAGTTCTACACAATTTTTTTTTAATTTAGACTACCAGCCTTGAAGATATTAGATCTTTTACCTTGCCACTCTGTAACAAATAGCGACAAACATCTTCCCAATGAACTCAGCACATTTGAATAAAGGGAAATAGGCATAGAGAGTGAGTTTTCTTCATTTCTGCTGAATGCTTCGTACAATTTAAGTAAATAGGCACAGAAAAGCTTTCATTACATACTAAGCATCATCACAAGCACTTGATATCCTGCACTAAATCATGTCGTCCTCAAAACCTCATGAAGGAAGAAGTACTGTCATTTTCCTCATTTGTCTAGATGGGAGAACTGAGGCACTTATCAGACAAGACTTGCTCAAGGTCAAAGTTAGTAAGTAGCAGATTATGTATAATCAACACCCAAAACTCTGGCCACCAATATCCTGGGAGTACCAATTCCCTTTGCTCTGAATCTGTTCAAACCCAGAATCACTTTGATGAATAATCTGACTTCCCAGTGTGTAGATATGGGATAGGATGTAGCCTGGGTGGTAGAAACCAGGCTAATTTTCTGGCCCTATATTGAATGGATAGTTTGTCTCTTGTGAGTTTGAATGTTAGCTAATCAATCACATTAGAATAAGTGATCCTACGTATGCTGATCACACCAACTTACTGAACCTACTAAATTCAGAATTCAAAAGATGCTACTAGCTTGTAAAATCCTGCATTCAGCCTTATCAAGTGGTGTTTCCATCTCTTTAATTTCCACATATAATATTAATTCTAATATTTAATTTTTAGTATGTAGAATGTTGATAAGCAGTATCCTAAAATCCTTTAATTTATGTCAATATATTTTTATAATATCTATTTGCATTGTCATGAATCATGTAAAGGGAATCTACAGATTCCAATTTTATAGATACCTTGTTATTATTAGTAAAATTCTGTTAATCCTAAGATGCTTTTTGCTAATAATTTCTAAAATAAAATTGTCCTGATTTTTTTCTTCCTAATGAGTAAGAGTCTTTATTAGGAAGGGGAAAAAACAATGGAAAATATTACAAGATACTGTAACATAATACTGAATTTATT